CTGAAGAAACTGTTTTTTCCTTACTTAACATGCCCCATGTACGACCAGAATAAGTGCATGACAGGGAGATGAAAAAGAAATAAAGAGCGAGTGAGAGAGGACAGTCAAAGCTAGTATGAATCTCTAACGCGCTCACGTAACCTTAGTGAGCTGGTCCCTAATGGACGAGCAGACACAGATATCACCCCAGGGCCCTGCATGCTATCTCAGTCTCTCCCCCTTTCACCTCTTGCACAACCTCTTTCTTTTTCAACCTCCATCGCTTTCCTTGTCTTAATCACCCAATGCCTTTCTTCCGTCTTTGCTGACTGGGATTTTCTTTCCGTATCTCGTTGCTTTAGTCCCTCAGAAATATGTTTTTAAGGGAAGTGTTTAAAAGTGTTGTGTTCCCTTCATTCTTCATTACCTAAATCCACGCGCTAGGCTTCAGTATCACTGCAGGAGTGTGGCAGATACTAAAATGGCGAGACTTTGGCATATTCCCATCTGTCTGCCTGTGCGTCTGGGCTCAGGTGGGCCATAGCAAGAGTCTATTCTCTTCTGTAATAGAAGCTATTTTAATCCCTGATCAGGAATGGAGAATAAAGTCACTAAGCGAGTCAGTATGACCTCCACTGCTGCTGTTACTAAAGAGAAAACCCCCAGTGCCCAAATGTCACCTCACTTTGTCAGGTTGTTGACAATGGAGTGATTAAAAGTATCTATTAAGCACGAGTTGTATTATGGCTCGGACTATTAATTCAGAAAATGTGATAATGACATTATTCTTTATAGTTGCACTTTTCAGCTGCTGTGTTTCACAATATAATTGCAGCTGAAATGAAAGTAAAAACGCCTGACAGGAAGTCAATATCTTACAAAGAACACTTTCCCCAAATAACCAACCCAGTCATCCAAGTCCAGAGAAATACCTCAGCATCGGTGAATCACAGTCTATAAAAATCCATTTTAAACGTAGGGTTCTGCTTGACTCATTTTTGGCTCATATAATTATTGACTGATTACTTCAAATGTGAATCGGTCTACTTGCTGTGCTTCTAGAAATGTCACTGTGATGAGTCACTGATGCAACTTTTCAACTTATCTTTTGCCAGGGTCTAAATCTTTAGTGAGGGCCTTATATACAATATATATGTCAAGATGTCAAAAGTCAGGATTCTTACTAACTTTTCATTTTCAGTAGATCCGTGATGCTTTGGCCATCCCCAACAAGAAGACAGATGCATTATTATTTTTTAATAATAATATTTCACTACTAGCTTTTCCTCAAAAGGCACAGATAAAAAAGTGAACGCATGTGTCAGGTCTCCGCTGAAGCAGCTGGATCGTTTTAGATGGTTCAGCATTAAATTAATTGGACTGATTATCACTTTAACAGCAAACCATAAAAGCATCTCATGCAACTTTTAATTTTTTACATTGCCTCTAATGGCAACATTTTATAAACTGAACTCCATGCAGGCTACCTTCAGTAAGAGCAGTTTTTAAATCAGAGTAGAGGTTATCTGTATACTGCAGAAACTGTAGGAAAGAGGAAAAAGGACAGAGGATCAGGAGATTAAACAGATAGCCGGTCCTACCACACCCTACATCACAGAAACTGAATCGTCTCTGCTCTGTCTCGAGCCTCTCGGTGTACCTTTTAGTGCGTCGGAACATATTGCTTGTATTTCGGTGTAGTTGAAAGCTGGGCGATGAGAAGTCAGAAAGCAGCAGGTCTCTGGCAAAATGCTATCGCAATGCAACGCATACTGTGGCTCCCACAACCTTTAGAGGTGCGCTGGTGTCTGTGTGTCTGGGCAAGTGTACAAGAGAACCAAAGGAGAGAGAGAGGGAGAGAGAGAGGGAGCACAGCACAGAGGGAGGGATGCAGGGAGGAAGGGTGGGTCTCTCTTTTAGAAAGGAACAACAAAAGGCGGCAGGGGATTATGGGTCATTTTCTCAAGGCTGAGGTGCCATAGTACACAATGTGGTTTTATGAGTTACTTGTGCTTCTGTTTTGTGTTTTCCTCTGAAGTCGATGCGAAATTAAAAGCTTTAACTGCAGGCTGTTTATTCCATGAATGAAGGAAGGAGAGTACAGGCAGGTTAATTTATCTCAGCAGCGCCTAAAGAAATGACCAAAGGACAAGGACATGTGGACAGTTACATAAGTAAAAAAACAATTTGAATGGGATCAAAAAGCGGAGCTAATGTTGATGTAGTATACCAGACGTGCATACACACACACAAACTATCAATGGCTGTGTTTACCCATGAATAGTTGCAGTAGGCAGATTGAATTTGAAGCCAACTCCAGTGAGCTCATCTATAATACATAGTGGGTTGGTGGTGTCCTGCAGAGGCAAATGGGATATGATGCAGAGGAGACAGTGACAGACTGAATTCAGATGGTAAAATAAGGGAGAGGAGGTGGAAAAGATGAGATGGTTGAAGAAAATGGTCTGGAAACAAACAGAGTCGGGAACAGGATCCCTGCCATCATTTCATGTGTGATTACCCATGGTGACTTGGGATGGTTTGAGTGTAGATGGGAGTGGGCACAAGAGACTGTTGACAGGTCAGTGCGACAATACATAAAAGATGATGTAACCACGGTGATAGCACCCACTGGTTTGTGGTTTCTCATTTTAAAGCTTTATAGTTTTCTATTTCTTTTGTTTTTTAGTTAAAGCTAGCCTGCTAACTCATCAGCTAGTACAAACTTCAGTAAGACACACAAAAAAATGCACAGGTGTGCTACACAGACACGAACACCTTCTAATTATTTATGTAATACAAAAAAATTACAAACCAGAATTTAATTCAGCAAAACCGAAACACAGACTTCTTGGACGGGCTCTTGGCAAAAATGTGACCCACATCTGCAGTTTTCTATGAGCCACATATGGCCTTGACTGATGGTGTTGACTCAGCTTGAGTCTGGCTGCCGCAACTCAGCTGCCAACTTACAATACGAGGGACAGATGTCAAGTATGTTGTGAAATTTGGGCCAAATCTGCCCCACCCAGAACCTGCCTTGCTGTGTGTCAAGCATGACTCATGACTTTCTGGCTTGCCCACGTAAACATTCACCACAGGCCCAAATATGTCTGCTACTGGGAAAGCAACCTATGTTATCTATCAGACACTTAAATTAATCAAAAATACACCAAAAAGCACCAACAACACAAATACAGTTGGATGGTCCAGTGACTGATTGTGTTGTGTTTTGTGCTCTTGGTGTTTCTCTGTCTAAGTATGCTTTTACTGTATTGGCAGTGTGTGTTTGGGATCACTGTCATACTGAAAGATGAAGCTGTTGCCAGTCAGACACTAATGGTACTGCATGTTGGATCATTTTTCATCACTTTTCTGCATTCAAAATTTCATCAGTTTTGAGAAGATCTTCCAACACAACTTACTGAAATGCAGCCCCAAACCATGACGGAGCCTCCATCATCCTGACCTCCTCTGTATATACTGACAATGATTTTAACCAAATGTGGATTCATCAGACCAGCCGTCACCGATTTTCCATCCAGTTGTTGTGTAATTTGCCAAATCTAAGCCCTTTCTTCCTATTTTCCTTTCTTAAAAATGGCTTTTGACAGCCATTCTACCTTTCTACTAGGATCATTTCTGATGATGCTTCATTGAACAGAAGATGGATCAACTGAAGTATCTCTCCAGTCCTGTGCTAGATTTGTTCCTATTTCTTAAGGACATGACTTTCAGACACTATTCGTTTAGTTTTTTTTGGCCTGTCACTTCTTTTCCACTCTATTTGTCCAGTTTCCTCAGATTTTTTTAAGGACACACTGCATCCCTTGTTCTTGGCTATTAGCATTTTGGGAACCAGCTTGCTGGTGCAGAAATACTATTTTATGCCTGCAGAGCTGTGTTATCTTCAGCATATTTTATATATTCAACTAAGAAAGAAATAGAAACAAATTATGTGCTTTTATGACAAGTTGTGACAAAATGGCTTGAATATTTTATATATTCAACTAAGAAAGAAATAGAAACAAATTATGTGCTTTTATGACAAGTTGTGACAAAATGGCTTTAAAATAGATTATCTGCTAAATTGTCTGTGATGTTTATTAGTGACTTAACAAACTTCTTCTAAAATCTCCTAAAAATGGTCAGATACAAGAACTGGACTGACAGTGAGTGAAAAAGTAGCCAATGAATCAAGAAAAACTTTGAACCTTCAGAAAGTGTGGAGACTACTCCACACTTCTCACAAGGAAAGGGTAGTCTGGACCGGTCCGAAAAAAAAAAATCATCAGCACAATGCTTAAACTTGTATTAACTATTTTTTTTATGTTTCTGTCACATAACAACTTTGAGCTGCTCCCTTCTCACAGGGGTTTGCCACAGCAGGTAGCCCTGCATATTTGATTTGCCAGACCTTTACATCGGATACCCTTCCTGACGCAAGCCCAAAAGTAATTTGTGTCTCCAGTGACCGTTTTCTCAAACAGGTCACTCGACACTGGTAAACCACCCTTGATTGAAAAGCTTTGGCTCTTTAACTGTAGTCCATTAAACAGTATAATATTTCAACCAAATACTTAATAAATGTGCCTACTTTATGCAGATAGCAAAAATTTGACAATTTGGAATAAGTTGGAGAATGCAGCATGGCTTTCAGCACCATGGACAGCGCCGGGAGCTCCCAACTGGCCTAATAAGGCTTCCACACACTCCAGCATTACTTCAGGAGACCTCATCCTCCTCTTTCACACAAGAAATCCACACTCCACACCCTAAGCACTACTGAAGCATCCTCATAGCTTTCAGACAGAATGTGAAAAGCATGCTTGTGATCCCAGAGAGCTTCCCAGCCTCATGTACGCTCGGGAAGAGAGGCTTTGATAAACAAGATGTACCGCAGCTTGGTATGATTGTTTTTTTGTCCATGAAGAACATTGTGCTTTCCCCAGGGAGTGGATGGGTGGTAGAGAGAGAGGATAGAGAGAAGAAAGGAAGGGTTAAACAAAGGTAACACTCACCTGCTGTTTTTGCGAGGCAGTGGCAAATCCTTCTGGTAGAAACACAAAGAAAAGGACAAAAAGAGAGATCAGGTACAGAAAATAGAAACATACTCTTTCTTATGAGATATTACGAAATTTGGGGAGAGCATAAGTAAAACATCACATGAGCACAGTAGCAGGCGCACCTTTTGAGCGTGTTCAGAAACATGGCTTGTTATTGTGGTAGGGGTTCACATCGGTTTCTATATCCTGAGTATAATAAAGCTCTGGTCCTGGAGAAGTTTGATAACAATTAGTTCATCACCTTATCCCGATTCATTTCATTTTGTGTGTGCATGTTTCAGAGTTAATTTTTGCCTGTGTTTTCAAACTACTCCTGCTATTTTCTGAAACTATGGCAACTGCTCCATCCCACCCTCCACCCCCCACCTCCCAGGTCCAGATGGACAGGAACACTGGGCTGAGACAGCAGCAGACACCAACTGCACCACACACAAAAAAAAAACCCCAGCATGAGCATAAGCAGATCTCACACCAGCACAGCCTGGATCTTTACAAACCCTTCACATGAAACTAGAGGAGGACAGAGAGGAGACGGAGAGTTTAAACAAGCGGCGGAGAGGTGGGTGAGAGGTGGATGGTACCGTGGGGAAACATGCTTTTATGCTTGCAACCTTATCTTGGAGTCTTCTGGCCTTCAGCTCTGTGTGTCTTTGTGTGCGTCATACAAGATATGGTGCTTGAGAGTCAGATATGAGATACTACTCAGTGTTTGGAAATGGATGCAATTAATGCATTAGCAGCTTCACACATGCTCCTGTCACACACAGGGTAAAGTTGTTAAGGTGCTGTTAGCATAAAATTGACCACCTGCTGACCACAGTCAATGTAATTATTGAGTTAACCTTCAAATAAAGGTTGAACGAATGGATGGGGATGTGCAGACCTGCTCCTACTGATATATGCCAGAACACATTTTTACATTGCTGCTGCCTGAGAGCCCCAGCCACTATTCACAAGGTTAAGCCTATGACACAGATGATAATTGTCAAGCCAAATGGAAAACTCTTAGTTAAACAGAGAGCACTAAACTGGTCCTCTCCTCATCTCAGGATCAGACGCACGATGCAGGCTGCACGGCTGTTCGACAGAATGTCCCGAGGGTTTACACGTTAACAAATCTGACTAAATATTCAGCTCATTGATCCCTTTTTCACTTTGTCCTTCATTGATCAGGCTAATTGACCCTGAGTTGTCAGATGAAAAGAGAGATGACTTACAAGAGCAAAAGGCATGAAGAACATCTGCGATGTGGGGGGTTACCTATACAGAGAAGCCCTAACTACACTTGACATCTAATGTTGCTGCAGAGTAGCAATTTAATCCAGAGGAAATGACCACATAAAAACTCTTTACAAGCTGCAAGGTGCTGTATTTTAGTGACAGTGAAGCTGAGTCCAGGGTCCACCAGTGTAATACCTTTTCCCTGGAGATTCAAAGTGGCAACGTAGATGCTAATCTCACGATTTAGGTCTGCTTTTTTATTCTAAGGTAAAATATCACCTTCAATTTTTGTGAAAATTTTCTGGATGGATTTGAATGACTTGGTGAGCCCTCATCAATTCTAATCACTTGTCTTTCATATAGTAACAGCATCATGTCAAAATTTAAACTGAGCAGAATTTAGCATGCTAATGCGCTAAGCTAAAACAATTAAGGCTTTGTCCATACTGGGAGGAAATAAAACGGATGGACATTAATGAACGTTCTGCAACTTCACACCCCAGCAGCATGAAGCATGTGAGGCATGAAATGAACTTTTCTTAGCTACCTGGTGAAGTGACTACCAATATACTGAATAATACTGTTGACTGACATATGGCTGATAGTAAATACATTACAGGGTGCCTAGGCAACCAGAATCTATAATGCCTGCAAAAGATTGTTTGGTAGCTTCACTTCGTGTGAAAAGCAGGTCGCTTCCAGTTTAGATGCAGCTTAACATATTAAACGTTTCACTTGCTAAACATCAGCCTGTTAGCATTATCACTGTTAGCATGTTAACGGGCGTCGACACAGGGGAGAACAGTATACGCCTGGATGTCAATGGAATTCAGTGACTTGTAGTGACAACTAACCTATAGTAAAGAAATAACCTATAGTAACAGTAAGTGGGTACTAAGGTCAAAATATTTCAACTTTGAGGTGAGTAATTCAAACAACTACAACGGCAGTAATGAAAACCATTATTTAAAATATCTTCATCTCCAAAATTTTATATTAGCCAAGCCGTCTAAAACTTTCCTCTCCAGCTACCTTAGAAGATTTCACCTTAAAGTTTTTCACATCTTAGAGGGAAGGGGTCCCTTTATACGATTTATTTGTAAGTAACTGCAAAGAATCATCTGATATTATACTGCATGCATGGAAGGCAGATTTGAAAGATGATTTACCTGATGAAGAATTGTTACAAGCATGTTTTAGTTCAGTCCCAAAGGTTAATCATATATTCTAAATTACTACATTATGAATGACTCAAATAGGCAAACAGACAAATAGACATGTTAGCTTAGTGCGCTAACTGAGCCAAATTTGCAGAGCTGGTGATGGCATGCCTAAGAGCAGAATAGCCCCTAAATCTCTTGATTTTCACTTAAGATAAATCAATGAATCACACTTTCTCAAAGTGACATCTTGAAATGTCAGTCCAAGACCCCAAAACAATCAGGTAACAATGATCTAGGTAGCAGCTGTGACTGACTAGGCCAGATCAGACCACCATCTTGCAGAAAATATAAATCCTCAAACAGGACGAGATGTAACATGCACAGGCTAAGAGTTTTATTTTCAAAATGTTTCAAACAAACACGTGCTCAGAATAGCTGAGAACGAATTAATTAACGAACCATTCAACAACGTATGACCTCAGTGTTCTCAGTGACATTCACTGCAGCAAATCACCAAAATGTTGCAAATTAGCTTGAACTATTTGTGGATAGTAGGGACGTCTGCTAAAGAAGCAGAAATAGTTTAGCAGCAACAAGAATAAAGTCCAAATGTAACAGAGGAGCAGAGAGGACTACACCTCTTTTGTTCAGGCATGCCTAGACAAAAAGAACCAGCTGGCACACTAAACAAAGTACAGCCATCTATTCATGTCTGAGAGAAAAAAAACTGGCACCATGAATATCTTTTGCTGCTTTTCAGAATTATACCTGGGAGTCCAAACTGTGGAGTGAATCTGCAGGTCTGTAGATGATAATTATTCAATCTTTGAATGAAACGGCCTTTATTAACCTCAGAAAATCCAATCAAATAGTTCTTTGTCACCTTCACTTACATTCCGTAATTCTTAGGCATTGCTGTCACATCGTATCTACCTGAATTCCCTTCTTAATCCTCAATTCCATTTTAATCTGTTAAAAGGTTACAAGGTGATGAATTGACTTCCTAATTCCAGTCTCTGCTTCATCAGTGACCAGTGTGCCAGAACACAAGCGCACCACTATGCTCCGAAATCGACCTGTGACTCCTAACTGCAGCATTTCCAGAAGATAATATGTTGTTAAGGAAACATGATCCTCACTCCGATCTGAAGCCTGTGCCTTAATTCTCCTGTGGCATAATTAGTTTGATGCAAGGCTTACTGCTCATTGCATGGTTGCATTTTCTACGTCAGAGGCTGATTTAAAAGCCACCATCCAGGGCTGATGTTCAAACTAAACGCTCCCCGAGTCCCGCTAATGAAGTCTGGCGGTGGTGGGCAGTGACTGACAACAGATGGGAGGCTCTGTCACAAACATGTCATGCTCACCAATCACAGATTAGAAAGCTACACAATCCCGTGCTGTATTTGCTGGCTTCTCAAACAGGAGCGACTACACTGTTATTATCCAGGTTTGGGTGCGTCCTCTAGGGAACGAAAGGGAAGTTTGAGCTTATGAATGACTGTCTGATCCCCTTTAGTCCCAGGATGTCACACAGTTGACAAGACAGTATGGGTCTGTGTTTCAGGACTTTGTATCCATGAATATTTAGATGCAGGGCAATTGTGCCACTGTCTTGTAATAACTGTGGTTTATGCACAATCATTTTGCATTTAGATTAATGCTGGGCTGTTTAATATCTAACCTGCAGATACAGTCCAGGCCTGTTTTATTGTTTTTTAAATTTCTCTGTGTTTTTCACAGCTCAGGGCTAAAATGTGCAGGAATGTTCAAATTTGTGTTCTTTTTTAAATTATGTTGGATGCTGCTGTTTCATTAAGCTACAGCCAGTCAGGGGCGAGCATCCTGATGCAGGCAGTAAACAACAAAGACTTGAAAGGCCAGTGAATTTTGTCTCCTGGTACACACACTGGCTGCTCATGTAACTCAGCCATAAAATATGCCTTTGCTGTAGTGTCCTTCAAGTCATATTGGCTGCACTACAATTTTTTTAAAGGCCTCAGTGATAATGAAATGGCATTAGTTGAGCCGCATGCCTGTAAAGCACATTGCTGCTCGGTGGGGATGCGCCAGCAAGTTCAATCATTTTGTAGACACTGCAAAGAAAAATGGTGGTGAGCCGGGCAGGGGAGGAACAACAGGGATCAATCAAGGGATGTCATGCTGCTAGGAGACAGTGCCCGGACCTGCCATTGTCTACAGCAGTGACTGACTCACAGATATGAGGCTGACAAAAAGGCAGAGCGGCTGAGGACGAGGCATACCAAGCATAAGAAAAGATGGTCTGGTGATTTGTGAAAACAACAAGACTGAATAAAAAATGACATGTAAAAAAAGATATTAAATATATTGTTTGTTTGTTTTTTACATTAGGGTTATATGATAGTGTAAGAAGCTGGTCTAAGAAAAACGTATTGTAGGGGTGTAACATTGTGATATATGTAAAGGAGAAGTAGAAGAAAGTGCTTTCGGTTGCTCCCCTTGTCAGATGGGGTCACCACAGAGAGTAGCTCAACATGTTTCATTTGGCAGTTTTACACCAGATGCCCTTTCTGACACAACCCCAAAGGGGATTTGTAGATCTGGCTGGAATTGAACCAGCAACCTTTCACTTGCCAACTGAATGTGTTAACCACTTCAGGGGATGGTCTGAGTATTCCAAAAGCTGCTGATCTACTGGGATTTTCCCACACAACCATCTGTAGGGTTTATAGAGGATGGTCTGAGAAAGAGAAAATATCTAGTTAGCAGCAGTTTTCTTGTTGATGTCAGAGGTCAGAGGAGAATGGACGGATTACTTCAAGCTGATAGGAAGACAATAGTATCACAAATTATGATCCAGTAGAACCAAGGTATGTAGGCAAGCCTTGAAGCGAATGAGCTAGAGCAGCAGCAAAAACCACACTGAGTGCCGCTCCTGTCAGCTTTAAACAGGAAACTGAGGCCACAGTTTGGGCTCACCAAAAACTGCACAATAGAACACTTAGTACCAGCTAAGCACTTTTTAATTACCACAGTCTACTCGCTGACCTTTATGACCACAGTGTGATCGTCTTCTAATGGGTGCTTCTAACAGGAAAACACACCATGTCACAAAACTCAAATCATCTTATTCTGGTTTCTTGAACATGGCAACGTTGGTACAATGGCAGCCTAGCTTCTTCTTAATGATTGCTAAAGTATCGTTTGATCAAGTCATGCAACACAGATATTTTACACAGGAAACAGCTGCAAAAGAGGAGTGAGAAAACCAGTTCAACCAGTTCAACATCATCAAAAACATTCATTTCAGTTAAGCCGTGAGTACTGCAAAATGTTGTTCTGTACTGTAGTTGTGGAATGATTATAGTTACTATTCCTTCAAACAAACAAACCAAAAAATGTGGAAATTACAAATTTCAGTTTGTTTTGTAGCTATTTCACACATCTCTGATGAATCAGGCTTTTCTTGACATATCTTCTGCGTGTTTGCCAGCAAGCCTATTGGAGGTTGTAGTGTCAGAGAGGAGCCAGCATAACAAGGAGCAAAGATCGTGGGTTTTTTTCATGTTTGCCGTGTTGAAGCGATGCATCACGGGTGTGACCCCTGACTGCAACTGCAGGGGAGTGGGGCGTGTCACCATATGGTGCTGAGAGAATGATTGTGTGTGTCTGTGTGTGAAAGAGGGAGCGAGTGACGGCTGGGATGATGAGACCCAGGGGACTGACAAAGCCGCTGATTAGGACATACAGAGCCAATCACATGTCAACGCACAATTTCAGAAACACACACACATTAGAGAATAAAACTCATGCAAATAGCCCAAATGTGCATATTAAAATAGAAGTCTACGTTCTCCCTCCCTCTACCACACTACCCTCCCTCACATATACAAACACTAAATCAATCAGCTGGCCTGCCTCCATCTATAAAATGCCAGGGACTTTGGGAGTGTGACTCTATGATGATTAATTCCCTTACAGCTCGTGTCATACATCACAGCAGCAGAGCAGTGAGCTGAGCAGTGGGGATGATGAGACATGAAACCATCAGGACACCTCACCACTAATCCTCCCCTCATTCCCTTATACCCACTCCCTTTCTTTTTCTTTTTCACAGAGTCGAGGGTCAATTTGGCTTCAAGGAGCTCAGAGCGCGTGCTTACAATCCTTCATCTCGGTAAACGAAACTGGCAGAATATGAACCGAATGAATGAGAGAAATGAAATGCACAGACTGCATAATCACACTAGCGTGCACAGAAGCCCCACAGGAGGCTGGCTGCAGTCTGCCCGGCCTGTAGCCTCATCTCTCCACAGTTCACATGACTGAATCACACAAAGATTGTGGGGTGTGTGTGTGGAGGGGGGGGTATGACCTATGGTTAAGCAGGCTGCTTCATAATGGATGAACGCAGTCATTTGAGCACAGCAGATCAGTATGCATGAGTGGCCATTCATTACAACATCTCATTAAAGAGACTTTTAAAAAGTACATGAGTGTGATCCTGACATGAGCTTCACAGGAGGATGTTAACTGACTATGACAGAAAAGCTACTATTAAAATATGACACGTATGTGACACGAATGATGAAAAATATATATGTTTGAGTGTAGTGGAGCTACTATGTTCAACACCAGAGACACGCTGCGAGTCTCCAACAGGACAGATGGAGAAAGAACTGATTTTTGTTGTAAACTTTATGAAGGTTTATCTTAAAGAACTACAGTAATGAGAACCAGAACAATACAAGGATAATTAAATCAGCTGACTGACAGGAAGTGAAAGGCAACTTTTACACAATGTAACACAGTTTAACACAGTTTTTGTTCTTCTGATTGCCTTAAAAAGCAAAGTTTAAAAAGAATATTATTTCCACAACCTTTGATGAATAAAAAATCAGAGGTTGAGGAACAAGATTTTTGTTACAGTGTTGCTCATTTTGTTAACATAATTGCCCAACACAGAGAAGATTCTCAGTTTGGGACTAGTAGGAGACACAAATCCAGCCTCAAGGCATTACAAGCCAGTGCACTCTTAGTGCTGGTCCCAAGCTGGGATAAATGGGTAAGTTACATCAGGAAGGGCACCCAGAGTAAAATCGGTGCCAGATCAAACATGTGGATCCAGCCATTGTGGAAGGGCCTACCAACAACATGGTTTTTTTTCCATTCATTGTCTCTGCTAGAGTAGCTGTGCATGATTCACAATTCAAAATAAACATCAGTTCCTTGTACCCCTCAGTTCATCCTCTGTCTGAAACAAGCTGCAGGAGAACGTTTGAATAGCAAGAGGGTGGGGCTTCTCCAATCCCAACATGCCCATATTAGGGATGTCCCCATTCTTTGATATCATACAGAGCCAGGAGCAGAAAAAACTGTCTGTAAGCCAGCATCTAGAGCACTCTGAAGCTCGATTGTTTGGCTCACACAGATTACTTTCAGCCAAGGCTGACTTCATTGATTGAAACTTCAACCATGTTTAATATAAGGCCCACCAATAATAAGTTAAAGTGCAACAATTCATCTATAATGGCTAAAAAAAAACCCCAACAACTTTATTTACAGGTTAATGATGAGTTATGAAACACATGTGTTAACTTTTCACTTTTAGTGATAAACATTTGCAGTGTCTGCTGGAAAAGTATAGCTACAGTATTCGGCTTCAATGACAGAGTCTGACCAAAAAGTAAAAATAAAGTCTGTCTGAACGTAGTAATCATGTATGACTGTGTTTCTACAACTGGAAGAGGATGGATTTAACACAAAAATCGGATTCCAGCCCAGACCAGCTCACCTGCAGCCTCCGCCGCCGTATTATCCCCGAGTCATCCATGGTGCCGTGTGGCTCTCGGTCGGGATTCCCCTTCACTAAAACAATTCTGTCACCTTACACTAATCTGGGTTGTGACCCAGTGAGGATGCTACTTCCACTTCACGCCCGAACTGCACAACACCAGCACAACAACAGCAGCAGCTACAGAGTTCCTGTGTGTCCGGTGTCACGTCGAAGAAGCCCACGAAAACGTGCCAAGAGGTCCCATTGTTTTTATAAAATAAAAAAAAGCCCCTTAAAATCAGCGACCGTTATTCTCTAAGCTGCACTTGTGATCGGCGTCCTCTGTCTCCTCGGCTGAGTATCACGCCGCTCTCTCCGCGGATCCTTCTAGGAGCATCCTTGACATTTTCCCAGTGGTCCGTGCGCTTTGATGCTGCCCAGCTGAGCGACTCGAAGGCCCGGAGAACTCAACGTCCATGTGCGATCAGCCGATCCAAACACTGAAGTACTTCGGTCACTTCACGACAATCTCCACGAAGAAAACGTGAGCTCGTCTCCACGTGTGGCCACAAAGGACGGCGCGTTCAAGGCTCGGCGAGGGGGGAAAACAAACACTCGATTATTTTACACATAACTGCACGGTGGTACGGACGCGCGTCGTGCCCCAGCCCCTCGGTCAGGGTGTCACTGCCGCTTATTCGCGGCGGAGGAGCCTGTCCGGTTCGGTCAACATCACCTCGTGTCTGAGAGCGCGCGCACGTCCCCTCCAAAAAAAACAAAACACACACATTAAGTAAAACTCTTGTTCGTTTCTTTCACCCACCCGTCGTTCCTCCACCCTCTCTCTTCTCGGGTGAAGCGGTTACTTATGGCACCGCAGCAACGCGATATTTGTAGCCCCTTCTTGGGATTCCCTTTCGCCCCTCCTCCTACGCGCGACAGAGACGCTCTTCTCTCCGGGGTGAATGGAGGAATATCCAAACACTCTTCCACAGAATCCAGCCCAGCAGGCTACGACCACACACTGGCTGTAGTGGTGCCCTAATTGCTGTTTTGATTTAATTTCCTGAAAGACAGTTTTAGATTGGAGCTGGCAGTTTTTCAGCTGATGTGTGAAGAGGCCTGTTAGAGCCTAAATCAGCACCACAGACAGCGACACGGGATTAAAGTTTTTCTCTTTTGCTTTAGCACATTCATTTCTCATGGGAGAGCATTTTTAAAAGTTCGTTTCTTTGTTTTTTTTAAGACATTTAACGCTTACTTATGAATAAGTGAAGCATAAAAAGCGGTGAACCAGTTGTGTCGACACATAACAGACAACTTAGCAAAGAACCAGTTTTAAATGTTATCTCAAGGCACTTTGTTACAAGTAGTCTGTTTGAAAAACAAAAACAAACAAACACATATTCTGCTCAAATTCCTTTAGTTGAATCTATTTTTTAAAAAATCTTAAAGATGGCAGATAAAGTTTAGTATTTTTGTACCAACAAGGTGATTCCCACAAAGATCTCAGCAGGTGTGCAGTGTGTCCAGCAAAAAACTAACACATTGGTTGGTCCATATTCACGGAAGCTTCAACAAAAATGGTCTCAGTGGAAGGGTGGCCAAGAAACTAATCTTAAAGAAGTGAAACAGGGAGAGAAGGCTGAGAAAAACTGTGGAGAAGTATTCCTGAAGACTGCTTGTCAAGAAAGAGTTCAGAGATCAGGCTATGTTGAAGTGTAAAGACATGAGGCTAAAGACTTTTGCACATTATTCTGTATCACAGTGTAATCAGAGCTGGATAATTTGACATCCCGACACGTTATTTAGCCACAATTTCTGATTGATCTCAGACCTAATGCTCTGCATTGCAGCTTTAAAGAGATAGAAAAGCCATATGTCTTGCACCCATCCTCTACCTTCTCCTGAAGTTCAGTATACTCTGCTGTCTGCTCCAAACATACTTACCGCTCCTACTCTTCCATGTGCAGGGTGTTCCTCCTGTAAAATGTTTGTCCAAGCCTCCATGTTCACTAATTGTTGCAATGGTTGCGTTCAGTTTCTATAAATGTGTTCTACAGTAGTAATAATAACACCTGTGGGCAGATTTCCCAACATGACATAATCAAAACAAGCCACGAACAACTCTACATGCATGTTGTTCGCAAAGACACACACAACCAATAATTTGCATACTCTTGGGCTTTTATTGAAATGTGCAAAAAACTATTTTAAAATACAAATGATGTCATCTGTCTTCTGATAGTTGATCTAAAGCAATGAATATAAACTCTTAGGCATTTCCGGTTGCACCACTCTGACCTTTCATCCACGCTGTGACGCAGAAAACAGGATTATTGTGCATGGAGAATAAATGTACCGGCATCAGATATCAATAACTGCCCTGGATATGTGTCAGAATGTATATCAAAATCTAAAAAAGGCATCATTTCTGGTTAATGCTGGTGTTATGGGAAAAAAGATTTCCTTCCATTACCATCCTTCAGAGACAGACAGACTGGTGCCCCTTTTGGCAAAGTCATTGCGTAATGCTTTGCTGGAGATTAGGACTTTCACACAGTTTTTATGTAACATATGGTCCAAACTGCCCACACAGGCATGGTCTCATCCGTGCCAGACACAGCAGGATATCTGCTGCAAAGCATTGAAGCATCCAAACTCGGCCCACGCTGGTCCATCCAAAAGCAAATAGCCAGGAAGGCTACGGGGATGCTGTTGACAAGAACAGTCCATCTGCAGAGAATTCATATGCGAGATTCTCAGATAAACAAACAGGTCATCTGACTTCAATATTGGCTTATTTTGTTTTCTATTCTCAACAGGTAAACCAATATTTTACATTAAAAACAGCATACCTGCATTTATGGATATCCATCACTGTGGCCCAGCCCTGAATACTGTAAATGGATTCATGGTTTCCAGAAGAAGAGCCTTCTTGTAGCACCAACCCCCCCCCCCAAAAAAACCCCCAGATTGCTGCAAATGCTTGAAATACATCCATGCCGCCCTCACTGGCAGAACTTTGGTGATCTCTTAGTTTTTCCTTTATAACCATAATCAGCTCAAATGTGTGTCCAAACCTAGAACACAGGGTACTAGCACTGTTGTACTGTCACATCTGTAGCTGTTACACACACACACACACACACACACACACACACACACACACACACACACACACACACATATGTATATTTATATATGTATCCCAGATAGCCAGCATGACCAAGCCACATGTAGCTGTTACTTGACCACATTAAATCATCGTGAGTCCAGCATTTATGCGAAAGATAGGATGTAAATTGTGATATGGGCCAGCTAATGATTTCTGACCCACGTCTGGCCTAAAGGACACTTGCCAGTGCTTGTAATTGAGCTAGAAGTGCAGAAAGTTGCCCAAATCAGGTCCAAATGTGTCTGCTGTCAGTCACACATAAACAGGCATAATCATGCATTGCACATTTGTTTTAGTTAGTCCTATTGACTTTGTAAAAACAGTAAAATCTTTAGCTGTCTGAAGCATTTCTGATTATTCTCTGTGGTACAGAGGTAGCACAATGCACACGAGCACTCTTAAATGTCCTTATGTGTGTAGATCTTAGTGTAGATGTCACAAATGTCTAAGCTGTAAAATCAAACAATACATCTCTGCAGTATCACAATGTTTGCAAAACCTTTTCAGAGGGAAAAAAAAAGACTCCTGTAAGCGGGCTGTTAGATTAAATGGAGCTGTCAGGGTCGTCTGGCTGGGAGTCACAGAGCCAGATCATCTCAGTGCTGATGGCAGTGGTTTGTTCTGTAGCCGATGTGCTTCCCTGATAAACAGGCAAAATTGTCCCAGCACTGTCAACATCTCATGCACACAAAGCCTTATTGTCCTCCCACTCCCATTCAGCTCTGTTACAGCTTTGAATGTCCCTTATGCTGCAATAAAGCCAGAGGACACATAGCAGGTAACAGAGGCCATTAGCCTGTCCTGCCGCAAAGGCCGGATTGAGCCTACAGTTAAAAATCTTAAGAGTATGTGGAAGTCTGGCTGGAAGACATGCTTCTGTGAGTTTCATGATTTTGTCATTATGGTTGCTTTAGGACAAACTGCCGGTGCTTTGCACCCGCTGAACGCAGAAAGGATGTGGCTCTCATAGCTTCTTACATAATGGTTTTATAATCCCTTTGAGCTCTGAGACAAACAGCTGCTCAGTTTTGTTTGGAACACGAGCTGATGTTGCTGTTTTGTTCATCTCCAAAGGACATCAAGACTCTACCACCAGCCTGTGTTGCACTCGCACTTGCCTTTAAAGCAGGATTGCGTTAATGTGAAATTACAGATCGCAAACAATCTTCGTCTCCTGCTCATTACTGGCAAAAATTGTCTCTCCTAAATTTCCATCTTATGTGCGAATTCCTGTTTCTCCCTCGCTGTTGTAAAAAAAACAAATATTTTTGAGATGTTTGGGTAGAACATGGCTTTTAGACTGGTAAAGCATTTTTTTAAGACACATTAAATTAGAAATAACAAACAAGAAAATAATTAATTCCATCCATCCACGGAGCCCAGACCTCGCTCTCCCCGGCCATCTCCTCCAGCTTGTCCGGGGGAACACTGAGGCTTTCACAGGCCAGCTGAGACATAATCTCTCCAGTGTGTCCTGGGTTTGCCAACAGAACGACATCATCTGCGAAAAGCAGAGATGAGATTCTGAGATCCCCCAAATGGAAGCCAACCTCCATAAAAGTTATGAACAGAATCATGCAGGTAGAGCACCACTATGCTCTTCTGAGTCGCCTGACAGCTTGCCACACACCCGATATTATATTAAGCCACTACACGAGCCACCTTCCAGTTCTCTTCACCTCTGGTGTCCATCATCTGGTTCGGGGGTTACCACCATGACAGGCCGCAGCTCGGTGCAGCAGCTTCAGCAATGGAGGTGCTGAACACAGTCCATTCAGACTCAGTGTCCCCATTTCCCTCAGAATGCTGTTGAAGCTCTGCCGGAGGTGAGAGCTAAGATTTCGCGTACAGGGGAATCTGCCAGGCATTCCCAGCGCACCCTCATTCCACCCCAGGTATGTCCAGCATTATATTCATATACATATTCACCCTTATGTTTGAACATGGTGTTTGTTATGGACAAACTGTGGTTTGCACAGAAGTCCAGTAACAGAATACCGATGGGGTTCAGATCTGGTAAACCGTTCCTCCCAGTCACGCCCCTCCAGGTCTCATATTCGTTACCCAATGAAGTCTCCCAGTAAGACAACACACTCCCTAGTTGGAGCACCCTCAAGCACCGCACCCAGGGACTCCAAGAAGGCCGGGTACTCTAAACTGTCATTCGGCCCATAAGTGCAGATGACAGTCAGGACCCGTTCCCCGACCAGAAGGTGCAGGGAACAAACCCTCCAATCTACTGGGAAAAAAACATACACGCTGTACAGGCTGCAAAATGAAACTATATATATATATAAAAATAAATAAATAATAAAAATAAATAAAAATACGGAGATAAAATAAATTAAAGTAAGATAAAATAAGACTCACGACATTTTTTAAAACCCTTCCCATCACAGACCAAACCAAATGCCCTCGCTTTCCCTGAAGGTGACACCAACGGAGACGCACAGCTCAGAACTCAGAAAGCATCGCAGTGATTCAGTGATGTGACTTATGAGTGATGTTTCTTTCCCTGCCCCAAGGAAGTAAAAGCACACATGGTGACTGTATATCACACACACACACACACACACACACACACACACACACACACACACACACACACACACACACACACACACACACACACACACGCCCAAATAGACATTACAAAACACAAAAAGGATGTGGACAGATGGGAACAGCGAGCCTTTCCATAACCTCCTCCCTCATCCAGCAGCAGCAGCGTTATTCAAAAAATGAAAAACATACAGCTGCAGTTTGTCACTGCACCAGCCTCATTTTTGTCACATATTTTAGATTTGATAGATGTTTTTGGCTTTTATGTTGTACTGCACTCGGTTACGCTTCAAGTAACCCATAGTGGGGTCTTTTATGACCCCAGTCATATTACTACATATTACACAACAACCTTTCATAATCTTAGACAGGAGTTGGCCCATTGCTGGGGCAAGGATAATGGAAAGTTGTTTGGAGATGTAAGCACTCCATTGCATTCCTCTCGCTCTCTCTCTTTTTAATGTAACAGTCTTAGAGTTGCAAGACTTACTGCTCCAGAAGCCTGAAGGCAGATACTTTGTTTCCAGACTGACAATGAAAACAGCTCAACTGACAGAGATCAGTGTCAGCAATAATCCGCATAACAGTCAGCTTAATCCTTTATGGACAGAAAAAGATAGAAAACCACAATTAATTATATTATTTAAGATATAAATGTGCCAACATTTTAGAATATCTCCCATAGATAAATGGATCAGTTTAGGTATGAGAAATACAAACAGAAAAAGAAACATCAGCTACAGGATTGTTTAAAAAAATGTGTGTGGATGCTTAAGCAGCTATCAGCCTGACTGACTGTTGTTATTTGTTAACTGGCCCACCCCCAGCAATTCTACAACATTAGTACACAGCAGTAATGTGAAACTCCATTATTTCATTGAGGTAATGTCCCCCTCTCACTCTGCTGTAAATCACCATCATGACTCCTTGTGGTCAAACGAGGCAGTGCAGCCGAGCCATCTTCAACTCTGCTCAGTGTTTCATGGTGCTCTGTGTGCTCGCAAAGGTTCCCTTTGGTTTATTTAATGCCAAGACATTGCAAGTAATCGTACAACATGCCACAGAAGAAAAAGAGCAAGGATTTCTACTGAATTACAAAAAAAAAAGTGGGGGAAGATTGGTCACACACTTATCTGTATGCTTTTTTATAGGGTCTACCTTACAATATAAAGTGCCTTGAGGCGACTGTTGTTGTGATTTGACACTGTATAAATAAAACTGAATGCACTGAATTGAATTGTTTAAAGCAATTTCCTGATTGCCTTTTTTATTTCACTTTTAGTTGTTTATTTATTTAGTCGACTTATCCTTTGGGTAAACAATTCTTATCTAGGTCAACAGGAAGTCAGAGCAAAGGTTTGGGTCTATTTTCACACTCATTCAAAAGAACACGTCACTCTGTGCATCAAATAAATTAGACTGAGCACCAGAGGCACAACTTAATCTGTAAGACGATCACAGGGTCACATTAAGGGCGCGCGCACGCACACACACACACACACACACACACACACACACACACACACACACACA